TTATCTTACAGCATTACTAGGAGAAATATGGCAAGAGTTGCATCTAAGATTTAATCCCGTCCGTCGCTTCAACGTACGTACGGGTTTCACTCAATCCCGACAAGGGTTAAGTTCCCAACAGATCTAGACTGTGTTAAACTAGTCTGCGGTTATTTAACAAATGTTGCAACACAAACTTAAATGTAAAAATTATTTCTTTAAAAAGGTATAATAACACGGCTTTTTTCAAAGTTTTGCAAAATTTGTGTTTGTTATCAGGAAAAACCCATGATAAAGACTCATTCTTCATCCATGCAAATATGTAATGTAGTTGTTTGTGTAATGTAGCTAATTAGTAATGTCCTCGCACACCATACTTTTATTACTTAAATTAAACCCTCTTTCTAATCAAAACCAAACGAAATCCTTTATTACAAAAATAGTATTATTCACCCAAACAAATTTGTCTGACAAGAAAAGATTATAGTACGAACGCAATTTTGTATTGTTGAAGCGTAGACATATTCTTACTTTTTAGGAACTATTTTACAGGATGCCGAGAATATGGAAAGCTTTTTCACACTATATTGCAAAATTGTTTGATGGAAAAATCGATACCATATAACTCCATTTTGCTAGATTTGAATTTTTTCATTTTGTTTTCCTAATAATTTACGATTCTGTTTACACGAATACATATTGAAAGCATATACTACAATAGTATTGTCTTTAAATTACTTAAAATTTAAGTATAGAACAAATGAAATTGTACTATTCATTGAATGTTGTCTTTGACGTCTAATTTCTATTTAAACATGTATTGTAGTATCGCGAACAAGTTTACAGTTGTTGTCCATTTGCCGTTTCCACTTCAATGTTATTACCTTAGATACGGATGTAAGGTGTCCTTGTTATATTGAAACACATGTTCTTTTATCCCAGTCCTTTATATGAATTTACAGTATGGGTTTGTTCATTTGTGATGGCCGTATATATACGTTGAACTGTAACTGTTTACAGTATGGGTTAGGTCATTTGTGATGACCGTATATATACGTTGAACTGTAACTGTTTACAGTATGGGTTTGGTCATTTGTGAAGACCGTATTTATACGGTGAACTGTAATTGTTTACAGTATGGGTTTGTTCATTTGTGATGACCGTATATATACGTTGAACTGTAACTGTTTACAGTATGGGTTTGGTCATTTGTGAAGACCGTATTTATACGGTGAACTGTAATTGTTTACAGTATGGGTTTGGTCATTTGTGAAGACCGTATAAATATGGTGAACTGTAATTGTTTACAGTATAGATTTGGTCATTTGTGAAGGCCGTATATATACGGTGAACTGTAACTGTTTACAGTATGGGTTTGGTCATTTGAGATGACCGTATATATACGGGGAACTGTAATTGTTTACAGTATGGGTTTGGTCATTGTGAAGACCGTATATATACGGTGAACTGTAATTGTTTACAGTATGGGTTTGGTCATTTGTGAAGACCGTATATATACGGTTAACTGTAATTGTTTACAGTATAGGTTTGGTCATTTGTGAAGGCCGTATATATACGGTGAACTATAATTGTTAACATCATTGTCCATTGTCCTTTGGTCTTGAGTGGATAGGGGTCTCATTAGCAACAATACATCATATAAATAAGAATATGTGATATGAGTGCTAATTAGACAACTCTCCATCTCTTAATCCAAAATGGAATGCAATGGCTGTCTCATTCAGTACGAATCAGTTTTGGTTATCATTTGTTTTTGTTTTTTTTCATGGTGTTTTTTATTTATTATTATTATTTATGCAGTGAACACGTGTTTGTGTTCATATACGTGATTAAAATTGAAGATATTTCCGATACAAATGATATGTTTTATAATAATCTATTTTCTAAAATTTGTCCAAATGAAAACCAAAACATTTTAATTGGATATTTGACCCCTCAACAGAGATAGCTGAATAAGTGTTACGGTCAACATCACTAAATTGTTGACCGATACGATGAATATATACATTCAATACGACGCAACACAATTTGGACGTTATTTGAGGTGACTTGGGTGTCTTCCTCCATCTTGGATTTTGAAGTAGCAGGTGACAATTGGTCTAGATCTTTAATGTAATGTGCATATTTTGAGAGTAGTATGTAATTCATGTGTAAGACTTTTCCTGTTAATATAGAAAATTGTGTGTTTTATCATATTTACGGCTGTATTTTCTAAAAAAACACTATATTTTTGTTTGCTTGATTTTTTTTTCCAACTTTGCCACATAAGGGGAGCTATACTCAGTTAGTAGGGGAGATAACTCAGATAAAGTAATTTTTATAATAGAAAGTGTTATGAATTTACCTCTTTTAATATGTAGCATAGTGAATGATGATTTTCCATCATCTCACATCAACGTAAATAACCTTGAAAAAGAATTAACAAAGCATCTAGATAGGAATTTTGTAAAATATTTATTAGAAGGTATAAAAAACGGTTTTGATACCATGGTGTCGAAAACAGAATTACCTACAGTTGAATGTAAAAATCTACAACACATTTCCGAAATCCAGACAGCGTTGATATTATAATTAAACAAGAGGATGATAAATGTTATCTAATAGGGCCATTTAAAAAGCTCCCTTTTGATAGGTATCGTGTGAGCCCAATAGGTATAGTGGAAGGCAAATATTTAGGGAAAAAGAGACTAATAGTTGATTTTTCGTCTCCACATGAAAGTCAAGATCATTCTAGTATTAACGATTATGTAATGTGCCTGTCCGAAGACAGGAGTTTGTAATTCAGTGGTTGTCGTATGTTGCTGTGTTACGTTAAATTTTTTTGTACATTAATTAGGCGGTACGTTTGAATTGTTTTACATTTGTCATGTCAGGGCCCTTTATAGATGACTATGCGTTATGGGCTTCGCTCATTGTTGAAGGACTTACGGTGAACGATAGTTGTTAATTTCTGTGTTATTTGGTTTCTTGTGAAGAGTTTTCTCATTGGCAATCACGCAATATCTTTTTTTTTATATGGGAACCTTTTTTCAGGCAAAAATGGCACACCCCTGCCAAATTTATCTAATAATTAATTAAAATGTTTAAATAGTCTTGTGCATTTAAATGATATTATCTACACTCATTATTTCAATTAAAAATTAAAATATATCATTTTTCTGAAATTGCATGTCTATGATCAGGGTAATTTAAATAGACAAGTCATATTACATGTATGAAGGGAAAAATGCAATACTGTCTTTCTTATTTAAGAATAAGTTTGAGTAAAAAATAATTACTTAAACAAGTAAAAATATAATGTACGTAACTTTACAAGTTTTTCAGGTCAATTATAATGTTTAAATAGTCTTGTGCATTTAAGGGGTATTGTCTACACTCATTATTTCATAGTAAAATGAAAATATATCATTTTTCTGAAATTGCATATCTTTGATCAGGCTAATTGAAATAGACATGACAGACAAGTCATATGAAGGCAAAATTACAATACTGTCATGACTGTCTTTCTTATTTAAGAATAAGTTTGAGTAAAAAAAATTTACTTAATCAAGTAAAAATATTATGTATGTAACTTTACAGGTTTTTCAGGTCAATTAAAATGTTTAAATAGTCTTGTGCATTTAAGTGGTATTGTCTACACTCATTATTTCATATTAAAATGAAAATATGTCATTTTTCTGAAATTGCATATCTTTGATCAGGCTAACTGAAATAGACAATTCTGGTCATATAACATGTATGAAGGGAAAATGACAATTCTGTCGTTCTTATATAAGAATAAGTTTTGAGTAAAAAAAATCTTTAAAAATATAATGCATGTAACTTTACAAGTTTTTCTGGTCAATTTAAATGTTTAAATAGTCTTGTGCATTTAAATGATATTATCTACACTCATTATTTCAAATTAAAATTAAAATATATCATTTTTCTGACATTGCATGTCTTTGATCAGGCTAATTTAAATAGGCAAGTCATATGAAGGAAAAATTACAATACTGTCTTTCTTATTTAAGAATAAGATTTGAGTAAAAAAAAATTTACCTAAACAAGTAAAAGTATTATGTATGTAACTTTACAGGTTTTTCAGGCCAATTAAAATGTTTAAATAGTCTTGTTTATTTAAATGATATTATCTACACTCATTATTTTAAATTAAAATGAATATATAACCCCGCTACACTCTGTATGTTTGTGCCTGTCCTTAGTCAGGAGCCTGTAATTCAGTGGTTGTCGTTTGTTCATGTGTTACTGTAATACATTTTTTTTTTTTTTTGTTCACTTTTTGTACATAAATTAGGATGTTAGTTTTCTTGTATCAATTGTTTTACATTGTCATTTCGGGGCCTTTTAGAGCTGACTATGCAATATGGGCTTTGCTCATTGTTGAAGGCTGTACGGTTACCTATAGTTGTTAATTTTGGTCTTTTGTGGAGTAGTCTCATTGGCAATCATGCCATATCTTCTTTTTTTATATATATCATTTTTCTGAAATTGCATATCTTTGATCAGGTGAACTGAAATAGACAAGTTATATGAAGGGAAATTTCAATAATGTCTGAACTAATTTAAGAATGAGTATTGAGTTTTTTTTTTTTACTTAAACAAGTAAAAATATTATGCTGGTAAAAAGGGGTGGGTCAACATCCTAATTAATTGGTATATATATGGGGATGTTTCAAAAATATGGGTCATGATTTTATAGACAAGTCGTATGAAGAGAAAATAACAATACTGTCTCGACTTATTTAAGAATAAGTATTTTGTTTTCTCTATATTAAAGTGCATTGGGTTTGAAATTTCATGTTGATCTGGGGTATATTCTACATTTTCTATATTGATACCACATCTTCATATTGATAATAAGTCACATGAAGGGAAAATTTCCATACTGCCTTAAGAATATATAAGTATTGAGTAAACAAAAATTAATTGAACACAATGTCATTATTTATTGTAATATTAATATAACACAATTTAAGAAAAAAAATTAACATTTAAATGATAAACCTTAAAGATATTGTGGTATAATCTTGTTATTTTCAATTTTAGAATAAGTGAAAAACATGCAGGAACAAGACAATGCAGATGGTAAGTTAAAATAAATGGATGGACGGTCTATAGGTTTTAATATATGGGGTGATGTTTTTTTTTTATGTCCAGTTTCATATTCAGTACTGGTCATGATATTGAGAGATTATTTATGACCCTGCTTTGTACAAGAAAGATTGGCGTTCATACCATACTATCAAGTCCTCATCTGAAGACCTTTGGTTTCTGGACAATAACAAGTTTAGTAAGATGCCAAATTGTTTTTATATGCCCGTTTACGGGACGTATTATCGTTTACCGTTGTACGTCTGTCCGTCCGTCATCAACATGTCGGACAGTAACTCAAAAACCCTTATGCATGAAACTTTGGTTAATTGTTTATGTCTATTGACGTGAGCTCCCTTTCGTTTTTTTTATAAATTTCAGATTTACCATTTCAGAGTTTTGGGGTTTTATTCATACACCTTATCGCTATTTGTCCGCCATTACTGGACATCACAAAATTTCCCGTAAAATTTTGACGTCATAATAGAAAATATCTGACGCAACAATGGAAAAGTGATTGTTGTATGACGTCAAAAGTTCAAGCGGGACAGATTCTTGGGTTAAGCGGGAATAGCGATAAGGTGTATTAAAAAGGGGGGATTTTCCAGTTTTCAAACAAGAACTCAAGAATGCTTTCACCAACTTGCAAGAAATTTTGGTGAATTGTTTATATCTTTTGACATGAGCTCCGTATCGATTTTTATAAATTTTAGATTTTACGTTTCGGAGTTATATGGTTTTATTCATAAAAAAGGGGGATTTTCCGGTTTTCAGACAATAACTAAAAAAAGCTTTCAGCAGTTCTCATGAAACTTTGGTGAATTGTTTATATCTGTTGATGTAAGCTCCCTTTAGTATTTTATAAATTTTAGATTTTACATTTCTGAGTTATGAGGTTTTATTCATTAAAAAAGGGGGGATTTTCCAGTTTTTGGACAATAACTCAAAAATGCTTTCAGCAGTTCTCATGAAAATTGGTGAATCATTTATATCTGTTGATGTAAGCTCCCTTTAGTATTTTATAAATTTAAGATTTTACAAATATTCAATTACAATCATAATTCAGACCTGTATCACCGTGTATCATCGTACAGCGGATATAGGTACTTACCAAGTGGGCATGATCGATTTTGAGCTGACACAGAAACGAAAATCTTTGTTTTGTTTTATCAACATTCAGTGCACATTTCTCAACATCTGAAATTCCTGCTCCAAAATAATTTTCACATCGATTTTTTCCTATTTATAAGACAACTTTGATATTCTAATAAGAACAATTAACTTGTTAATGCGCAAATAGTTGTGAATGTCAACACCAACTTTTAATTTCGATACAATTGTCGAGACATTTACATGTTTTATATGAAAGAAAGCTAATACATGGCAAAAGTAATAGTTACCAATCATAAACCTACCTGTGATAACCCATTCCTTGAAACTTTTTGGGTAATAAACGAGTATGAAAATTTAGTTTTTGTGTACGGTGTACAGCAACTTAACTATGCACCGTACAGAAGGATTTATGTGGTCAGCTAAACACCGTACACAACGCTTCTTTTTGTAATAAAATAGCGAAAAAAACATATGCATGAAAGATTTCAATGCCAATTATTGAAACACCTATACCTATTAAACACACACAGTTGCCTTCTACCAGAAAAAGAGTTGCAATGAAAATAGAATTATATCGGATGAGACGAGTGCCAACTTCTTTGACAAGTATTTGTACATGTTTTTAGTAATCGTTCTTGTTTTGGGAAAATAATGAGATATCTCCAATCATCAACCTACGACCAAATCATTTCTTAAAACAACAATTATGTTTAGATTGAAGTACACATTGATATTATGTGAACAAAACAAAGATTTTCGTTACCGTGTAAGGTCAAAATCGATCACGCCCGCTTGGTTAGTACCTATATCCGCTGTACTGATGATACACGGTGTGTATCAAGCTTGAATATTGTGTCCATTATTGCCCCAACTGTTCAGGGTTGGACCTCTGCTGGTGTATCCAGCTGCGCTCAGCGAAGCAGTTTATTCTGTTTCCTCTGCTAAGCTGGTCCTATCATTTATGATTTCGGGTCTTGTAAAGCATTTGGGCCTGTCCTAAGTCAGGAACCTATAGGTTTTGTTAGTCTTGTATATTTTTTTACTTTTAGTTCATCTCAGTGTTTCGAAGTGTAGAGTGGCGTCCATTTTCAGAATAAATATTTTTAAGTCTCTTCGTTTGGGAAGACTTATTGGTTTAGCTCACTTCTTCTTCTTCTTCTTCTTCTTCTTCTTCTTCTTCTTCTTCTTCTTCTTCTTCTTCTTCTTCTTCTTCTTCTTCTTCTTCTTCTTCTTCTTCTTCCGCCGCTTTTAAATTTGAACTTGTCCGCACCCGTTCTCCAAAACCACTTGTCAGATTAACTTAGGGTTTCACAATATGTTACACTAACATGTCTAGTGGTGCAATCAGGGTTTTGTTTGTGCAATGGGGTTTATAAAGGGGTACTTTGAGGGGCAAAAAGAAAGGAGGGTTTTACTATAGAACCCTATGGGATTTTATTTTTTTTAATTTTCAAATGATTATAAATTGAAAACCGTTTGTGATAGACACAATCTTTTTAATTGAAAATGTTCTAAATGATAAAGCACATTAAATGAAATACAGGGTTAGTCCCCAGGGGTCACCCCCACCCCCTGCCATTTAAAAAAGTTCTAATATCTTGTAAATGGTCGAAATCCCCACCCCTAAACCATATATATTCTGGTTTGTCATGCTAAGCTGGTTTGAATGATATACAGGGTTAGTCCCCAGGGGTCATCCCGACCCCCGCCATTTGAGAAAATTCTAATATCTTGTAAATGGTCGAGATCCCCACCCCTAAACCATATATATTCTGGTTTGTCATGATAAAGCACATCAAATGAAATACTGGGGTCACCCCCACCCCCTACCATTTAAGAAAGTTATAATATCTTGTAAGTGGTCAAGATCCCCACCCCTAAACCATATATATTCTGGTTTGTCATGATAAAGCACATCAAATGAAATACAGGGGTCACCCCCACCCCCTACCATTTAAGAAAGTTATAATATCTTGTAAGTGGTCAAGATCCCCACCCCTAAACCATATATATTCTGGTTTGTCATGATAAAGCACATCAAATGAAATACAGTGTTAGTCCCCAGGGGTCACCCCCACCCCCTGCCATTTAAGAAAGTTCTAATATCTTGTAAGTGGTCAAGATCCCCACCCCTAAACCATATATATTCTGGTTTGTCATGCGAAGATGGTTTGAATGATATACAGGGTTAGTCCCCAGGGGTCACCCCACCCCCTGCCATTTAAGAATGTCCTAATATCTTGTAAGTGGTCAAGATCCCCACCCCTAAACCTATATATTCTGGTTTGTCATGCGAAGATGGTTTGAATGATATACAGGGTTAGTCCCCAGAGGTCACCCCCACCCCCTGCCTTTTAAGAAAGTTATAATATCTTGTAAGTGGTCAAGATCCCCACCCCTAAACCATATATATTCTGGTTTGTCATACCAAGATGGTTTGAATGATATATAGGGTTAGTCCCCAGGGGTCATCCCGACCCCCTGCCATTTTAGAAAGTTCTAATATCTTGTAAATTGTTGAGATTCCCACCCCTAAACCATATATATGCCTGTTCATCATGTCTCGAACATTTGAAAGACTTATACGGTCAGTCCCCAGGGGTTCCCCCCACCCCCAATGTTCTAGTATCTTGTAAATGGTCGATATCCCCACCCCTAAACCATATATATTTTGGGTTGTCATGCCAAGATGATTTGAATGATATACAGGGTTAGTCCCCAGGCATCACTAATGGGAATTACGAATTGTGGGAGCTTCGTTTAGGAGACTTCGAAACAGCATCCTGTTACAATCATTTCTTGTTAGCATCGTTTTAGTATTTTTTTAACAATCCTTGAAATTGTGCAGTTTATAATGTGATGTCCTTCATGTCCTGATGCCATGTATGTTTACCACTTTGTTTTCAGATGACTTTCCTGAATCTGCTTTCTTATCACTTCTTGCTGAGCATAATGACAATTTGTTACATTAGCCACCACTAAGAAACATTTGCAATGTCTGCTTTTAACAAATAGCACATGAACATATTGAAAGATATCTGTCGCCTATGTAATGGAAGCATAAACCAAAGAAAACGATACCAAAAAATCAATTTTGCAGAAGAAATCTTTGTTTTAATGAAAATAGATGTTAAAAATGAATGTGAACAAGTTCATCAACAATTCATTTGTAACAATTGTTCTCGCAATTTGTATAGATATAGAGACACAAAAGTTAGTATTCCTTAACCTAATTTAAGTCCTAAAACGTTTGTACCACATTCTGAAGAATGTGAACTATGCAGTCCAAGAAAAACTCCAAAAAAGAGGTCGTCCAAAAAAACGGAAGACAGATGATGCTTTGTCTGATCCAGTAGAAACCAGGATAAAAACAACATGTAACAAAATTGAAGACATAACAAACAGTACAGCAGTGCAACAGTCAGGTCAGACAAATAATGATGCTTAGGTTGACGAAAAGACCATTGTACCTGGTGCTATATCTCAGAATGAAAGTTATTGCACAGATGTTGAAACATTTGACCTAGCTGCTGATGTACCAACAGTGCCGAAAACCTTATCTTTGATACCAGAAGAAACAAGGATGTCCCCTTCAAGCAGTAAGAGTCCAGACCAACTAATAACAGTAACAGGACAAACAAAAAAACATACCCATATATCTGATGAATCGTCTCAAGAATGGAGTTTACAGAGTGATTTGAAATTATTTGAACCTCCAGAATCAAATTTAACAATAGAACAGATAACTTCAAGCAATTTAGTCAGAGTGGAAAACTTACCCTTTATTGGTGCTGAAAATGATAAGAAAACCACAACAAATGATAATCAACTCAGCAGTGTAGACAGTGCATCTGAAATGAAAGGTCATTTTGATCAATCCACTTTTAAATCAAAAGTGCCTTAGGTAGAAGAACCTATTGGCAATTATTTGATTGACCTGACAGAGGGGGGTGTACAAGAGGAAAATATTGGCAGCAACATATCTGAACAGAAAAAAATATCACCAACCATGGATGCAGATAGTTTGATGGAAGAATTTAAAGTTCTAATTTTAAATGCACCGAAAAGTCAAATTGAAAGTCTGCTTTTTAAATTCTTGGACATGCTGCCTCCGGAAACAATGTCTGTATTATGCAACTGCATAGGCAGGAAACAACAGAGGAATATTTCTGAAGACGCAGATTCATTTTCACTGCTTTATAAAGACATGGTTGCTATGTCAAATTTCAGCATATTGAAATGGTTAAATCATCGTAATGGGAGTGTTTTGTCATATTTGTTAGGTATTCTTGGAAATGAAATTTCAGATAGCGTTCCTGTTGATCTTGAAAAGTTATTCTCTACTGATCTTCTTTTGGTTTCACGTGCATTGGAGCAATTGTATGCTTTAAGTAATAAGAAACTTATATCACCAGTTTCCATTTTAATGAGTATATCAGCATATGCATTCACAGGAAGTAAAGTAGTCGTTGATATGATTGGTAACACAAATCCTTCTGGTCATTACAAGACAATTGCAAATTGGTTGAAGTACCAAGGAAGTCAACTACCAGTAATTCCAGCCTGTGATTTGATGAATGACTTTGATAATGAACAAGTCATTGGTAAGACATATTCAATAAAGCCACGAAATAAGGTTTCAGTATCTATTATTACAAACAAAGGATATGTCCAATTGCTCTCCAAAGAAAATATGCAATGTAAACCAGACCTAAAACCAGAAATGATAATGAAGCCATTAAGAGATATTGATCAAACTGAGGAGGGAACAATTGAAAAAGACACAGGAGAATGACAAATTGAAGTCTATCATTTCAGACATAATTGATCAGGATGGTGAAGACTACATAAGAATGGAAACCGAACACAATGAACAGTTGTATCACCATATTAACCATGCCATACAAATTGTTTTTAAAGGATCAAAAAGAGAATGGTGAAGATTTTACAGATTCTATAGACGATTTAGTTAAGAAGAATTTTAACAAGGAAAATGACATAACTTGCAAAAATTGTCAAACATTAAATGAAAAACTGAAACGAGTTTGCATTGGCTGTGGGGAAAGAGAGGGTATCAAAGAAGTTAAAGCAATACAAAAAGATAAAAAATCAACTCAACCAAAGAAAGAAATGATACAGAAGATTGTTTTTGAGCATGATAAAGAAAAGACAGACATGAAAGATACGACTGAAGTACATTCAGAATTTTCTCAGTTTGACCATGTAACATCAAATCATCAAGGAAAGCATGAGTTGTTTTTGACCGATCCTGTATTTTGCAACCCTAATAGCAGTTTGTCAGTTGCTAGAGTCTTACGAAAGATTGGAGCAGAGAATGACATACTTCGATATGGTGGTAGAAAACGACATTGGACTTTTATCTGTTGTGATGGCCTTCCATATATGATCATTAGGAAGTTAAAGCAAGAAGCAGGTATTTGTGTATTTGCTGATTGCAACAAATCCTTTTTAACACTTGAAGAATATAACAAACATGCTAATCAGTCTCATCCTGATGAGCAGAGAAAATATGTCTTTGAGTTTGATTGGTTATACCTCAAGATTGGTCTTGGACATTATGAGATGAATCTGATAAAGTCTTTCTTTGAGCTGAACTGGGTACCATTTCTTGAAGCAATGTGTGAGGAGATGGGGTTTGTGTCGGATGCATCTAAACTATTTGCAAAGAGATGCAAAGACCACCATAAGAGTTGGCGTCTCCTTCTCATTTTCCATCTTGGAAGTCTACAAGAACTGGTTTTACCATATGTACGCCATTGCTTACTGCTGAAATCAACACCTTCTGCTAAGGGCTTTCTAGGTTTTAATTCTAGATTTTATAGTTCTAAGGAGTATCCTAACCTAACATATTTAATTGATCAAGTTGGTAAATACTCCCAAGGAATAATTAATCTTCGAATGGCTACACGTAGGAACAATGCATCATTATTGAGGAGTTCAATGTACATGACAAAAGAGTTGTTTCATGGAAGGCAGCACCCTAAGTACCAAATTATTGAACTGTATGATGCCATTCAATACAAAATGATGCCAGAAGATGTTAGACAGCTGTATGATGATTACTCATCAATAACAACTAGCGGCAATTATTCCCTAGGAGAAGATTTTGACTTCGTTCTTGAAGAAAAGAATAAGCAGCTGAAATCATGGATACCAAAAGGTGTTCCCACTGATGAAATTTGGCAGACTGTATGTAGAAATAACACCCTACTGGAGAATATCAAAGACCGCTCACTCAGTGTATTAGGATTATCTTCATCAAAAAGTGGTACACACTCTTTGGGTATTGATGATGCTGTTCTTGCTTTTAGAGTTCTCTTAAGGAAATCCAATTACTTAGGTAAACCAACAGACCACACTTCTATTTCTGGTATGGCTCTTGATGAAGGGTTGATAGGATGCACACAGGCCGCATTGGGAAAAAGAATTCATATTATAAAAACAGAATTTCTAGGTTTACCCTTACAACCCGAGCATTTCATATTCGACATCCTGTTCCAGTCACACCTTTTGAGAGAGAGAAATTATATAGTACCAGCAATATGACCATCAAAGAACTTATTCATTTCTTTTTAAATAATGCATGATATATTTCATGTATTTTGGCATCATATACAACCATAAAAGTGTGGCTGCAATGCATGATTATATATCTTTATTCTTCATTATTTTGAAAATGAATGCCGCTTGACTGTGAATTAGATTTGTAATATTGTACCCGTTTACCCATAATTTAACAAAATCGTTTTGAGCATCATACATATCATGCATGTCATTTGTTCATCATATGGACAATAAATGTGCTTTTTTCCTGTTCTTCATTTAAAAACAATTAAAATTTAATTTGAATTGATGAACAACTAAAAAATTATGATTTTGTGATATTGTTATATATATTTGCATGCTTTATTCCTACATCTGACATTGTCTTAGACCTTATTTTCAGGCCCACAAAAGTAATTTTTCATATTCAACTAAAAAATGTGCATGTGTGTATAGAGTGAAACCTGTCTAAACCATTAAACATTATTCTGTTTTAGATCGCATGTGGAATGAAGATTCCTATTTTTCACTGCAATTGGCAAGCATGTGTATTTTCCTTATTGTAATGTTGATATTTTTGCTGGTGATCCAGCGAAAACTACGCATTAATTTGCAAGCAAGGTATTTTAATCTGAGATTTTCCATAAACATGAATGTGGGCAGTGATCTACTTTTTTGTGCATGGTTTGCATGTGATTTTATACAGACTAAAGTGCTAAATATATATATTTATACAGAAAGGAAAATTCAAGTGAATTCCTGCACTCCCACATTCATAGCTATTAAGTTTTAAAGATGAACAAAAATAACACTAAAAAAAATCACTTTCATAATTAAAATTTTTAAATTGTAATGCTTTACACATTGACACTGCTATCTTTAAATGGAATATGCAGCATGATTGTTTATACTAAATGCAAATAATCTAAATTCACTTTTATGTTACGCTTATGATAAAAAAGGGTTAAATTATATTGTTTTTCATCTGTGCGGCTGTCTTCGTCAATCCTGAAGCAGGTGAAAGTAGTTCTGATGTCACATATACATTTTGTTATCTATGAAAAAGAGGCAAATCTGATAGCAGCAGATAATCAAACCCTGTTAATTAAACATATTTTTTTTTTCATCAGTGTTTAAGCTATGAGTGATGTTGATCATCAGTGTTTAAGCTATGAGTGATGTTGATCATCAGTGTTTAAGCTATGAGTGATGTTGATCATCAGTGTTAAAGCTATGAGTGATGTTGATCATCAGTGTTTAAGCTATGAGTGATGTTGATCATCAGTGTTTAAGCTATGAGTGATGTTGATCATCAGTGTTTAAGCTATGAGTGATGTTGATCATCAGTGTTTAAGCTATGAGTGATGTTGATCATCAGTGTTTAAGCTATGAGTGATGTTGATCATCAGTGTTTAAGCTATGAGTGATGTTGATTATTGCTTTTTCATGTTCGTTTCTTTATTATTCTCTTGATTTCAGTTTCAGAAACCAGGACCCAGAATATTAGACACAGAAAAGAGAAACCAGGGGTGCTTAAGACATATTCAGACAAAAAGGACAAATTTACTTGCAGGATTAGTGCGTTAAATGCTTCCAAATCTAGGATAATGTTGAAATTAAAAAAATTGCTATGAAGTTGGAAAAAGAGCAGGTTTACGAACCTGTTGACACTCTATTCATTATAAGGAAACGGGGAACACATCTATACAGATGTTTTGGTTATGGGGAGCTCCGGGAGAGGTTTATAAATGGTGAAGTTCTCACAGACTATCCCCCGTATGCTAATAGAAAGGAACAATCCATGCCGGAGGTGGAGAAAGATACTAAAGTAGAATTTTTAACACCAGGGAAAGACCCTTTCAGTTTCAGCAGGGGTAGTGCCAAGACCCTTGCTGAAAGACAAAAGGACCAACTAGACAATTTGCCGATCAGGATAGCTCCAGATGAAGTTAATGTGTAAGTAAAAGTTATCCTTCATTTAATAAACATTATTTTGAGGTTGTAGATTGTTATGTTGATTTGTTTGAATAATTGATTTCTAGCATGTCCAAAATATTGTAAGGAATTGAAATAATTTGCTGTTACACATCAATAATAAAGCACAGAAATATTTCTTGTTTAAACTCTAAAATACTCTAATTTGGGTCATCAATATGCTCAACTTTCCACTTTATTTAACATTGCAATTATTTGGATTAAAGTGTCACTGATAAGTTTTGTATAGACGAAACGCATGTCTGGCGTAAAAAAAGTAAAAGCCTAGTACCTTTGACGAGTATTAATTGCTGTTGTTCATCACTCTTCTGTTGAAACTTGTTGTAACTTCCATTAAAGACTCCCATTTAAGTCTTGATTATGCATGTAATAGAAATCATTCAAATAATTATAGAATTTCTTGAACCTTTAGTTTTTTTGGTTAAATTTTATTTAAATCCTTTTTTGTATGATGTTTCAGATATAAACCAGGACCAGCAAAAATTCAAAAATTTAAAAAGTTATTTGAAAGGTAAGAATTTCAATAAATCTAAATGCAAATGTTTCATTCTAATTTTTTTTTAGCTAATTATATTTACCGCATAAATAAGGTAATGCATAATTACACTACAGCTATAAAGAATGTTTTAACTAGATTAAGGAAAAGGCAACTCCTCTCCAAAATCATGAATCTGGCTGGCACTTTCATTGAACATAAATACCATTTTGTCAGTTTTTAAATTTGGTACATATGAATATAAATAAGATGTGATATGAGAGCCAATGAGGCAACTCTCTTTCCAAGAAACAAGTACATGTATTTACAGTTAGCAATTATACGTCAAAGTACAGTCTTCAACACTGAGCACGGGCTCACACCAAATAGCTGGCCACAAACGGCCCCAAAATGACCAGAGCAAAACAACAACAGGGAAATTTTATATCTTTCTTACAATTTGAAATTTAATTTTATTGATAAATACCTTGGCAAATGAAAATAAGAATGTTTTCTTTTATTATTAGCCCTACTATTGGACATGTTGGAAGAGGAGGAAGAGGGAGGGTACAGGAGGCGCAAAGGGAAGAGGGAGAGGGAGAAAGAGAAATCAAGAGAGGTACAAACACTGTCAACAATAATCAAAAATATGTTTTATATACTTAATTTGAAAGCTTTTCATTTAAACAACTGAAAATTGAGAGAAAACTTGAAAACAACAAATAGAAAATTAAGAATTTTCATTCCTTATTAAATGACTTGTCATAGCACTGGTATATATTTCCTGAAGACATGAAAGATAGATAAAGTAATTAAAAATTTGGCTGGAAAATATTCTCTACATTTTTCATAGTTTCATCATTTGCAAGATTCATTTCTCAAGAACTATTAATATTATATATATGACTCAAAAGTTCCCTTTTATATTTGATTTTTTTTCAGCAGTTCTGACTCGGATAAAGATGAAAGTGGTAATGACATGAATGATGACAATGAAGAAGAAATAAGGTAATGACAAAGTTACACTACAGCTATAAAGAAAATTTTAACTAGATTAAGAAAAAGGCAACTCCTCTCCTAAATCATGTATCTGGTTGGCACTTTCATTGAACAAAAATACCATTTTGTCAATGTTTTTAAATTTGGTACATTTGAATATAAATAAGATGTGATATGAGAGCCAATGAGGCAACTTTCTTTCCAACTCACAGTGATATGAGAGCCAATGAGGCAACTCTCTTTCCAACTCACAGTGATATGAGAGCCAATGAGGCAACTCTCTTTCCAACTCACAATGTATTTACAGTTAGCAATTATATGTCAAAGTACGGCCTTAACACTGAACACGGGCTCACACCAAATAGCTAGCCACAAAGGGCCTAAAAATGACCAGAGCAAAACAACAGGAAATTTTATATCTTTCTAACAATTTGAAATTTAATTTTATTGATAAATACCTTGGCAAATGAAAATAAGAATGCTTTTTTTTTTATTAGATCTACTATTGGACATGTTGGAAGAGGAGGAAGAGGGAGGGGTGCAGGAGGCGCAAAGGGAAGAGGGAGAGGGAGAAAGAGATAGCAAGAGAGGTACAAACACTGTCAACAATAATCAAAAATATATTTTATATACTTAATTTGAAAGCTTTTCATTTAAACAACTGAAAATTGAGAGAAAATTGAAAACAACAAATAGAAAATTAAGAATGTTCATTCCTTATTAAATGACTTGTCATAGCACTGGTATATATTGCCTGAAGACATGAAAGACAGAAAAAGTAATTAAAAATTTGGATGAAAAATATTCTCTCTACATTTTTCATAGTTTCACCATTTGCAAGTTTTATTTCTCAAGAACTATTAATATCATATATATGACTCAAAAGTTCCTTTTTAAATTTGCTTTTTTTTCAGCAGTTCTGACTCGGATAAAGATGAAAGTGGTAATGACATGAATGATGACAATGAAGAAGAAATAAGGTAATGACAAAGTTACACTACACCTATAAAGAATGTTTTAACTAGATTAAGAAAAAGGCAACTCCTCTCCTAATTCATGTATCTGGTTGGCACTTTCATTGAACAAAAATACCATCTGGTCAATGTTTTTAAATTTGGTACATTTGAATATAAATAAGATGTGATATGAGAGCCAATGAGGCAACTCTCTTTCCAACTCTCAATGTATTTACAGTTAGCAATTATACGTCAAAGTACGGTCTTCAACACTGAACACGGGCTCACACGAAATAGCTAGCCACAAAGGGCCCAAAAATGACCACAGCAAAACAACAGGAAATTTTATATCTTTCTAACAATTTGAAATTTAATTTTATTGATAAATACCTTGGCAAATGAAAATGAGAATGCTTTTTTTTTATTAGATCTACTATTGGACATGTTGGAAGAGGAGGAAGAGGGAGGGGTGCAGGAGGCGCAAAGGGAAGAGGGAGAGGGAGAAAGAGAAAGCAAGAGAGGTACAAACACTGTCAACAATAATCAAAAATATATTTTATATACTTAATTTGAAAGCTTTTCATTTAAACAACTGAAAATTGAGAGAAAACTTGAAAACAACAAATATAAAATTAAGAATGTTCATTCCGTATTAAATGACTTGTCATAGCACTGGTATATATTGCCTGAAGACATGAAAGATAGATAAAGTAATTGAAAATTTGGATGGAAAATATTCTCTCTACATATTTCTTAGTTTCACCATTCGCAAGTTTCATTTCTCAAGAACTATTAATATTATACATGTTATATATACGACTCAATAGTTCCATTTTATATTTGCTTTTTTTTTCAGCAGTTCTGACTCGGATAAAGATGAAAGTGGTAATGCCATGAATGATGACAATGAAGAAGAAATAAGGTAATGACAAAGTTACAGTACAGCTTTAAAGAATGTTTTAACTAGATTAAGGAAAAGGCAACTCCTCTCCTAAATCATGTATCTGGTTGGCACTTTCATTGAACAAAAATACCATTTTGTCAATGTTTTTAAATTCTGTACATTTGAATATAAATTCTTTTGTGACATAGCTTAGCATAGGTAGCTTGTTGTATGTAAATAAGAAGATGTGAAATGAGCGCCATTGAGACCATTCTCCATCCAAGTCACAATGTAATTAAAGTTAACAAAGGTCAAAGTACGGCCTTCAACACAGAGCGCTGGCTCACACCAAACAGCAAGATAGAAAGGGCCCCAAAATTACCACAACAAAACTTAAACAGGAAATTTAATACCTTTCAACCTTGAATTTCAATTTAATTGATAAATACATTAGCAAATAAAAAAATGAAAATACTTTTTCTTATTCAGACCAATAACAAAGAAACCCAGGAAGCAGCTGTTTATCAATGAATTGTAAGTATGAAATTTGAATCTTGGGAATATAAAGCTTCCATTCTTAAATTACAAAAAAATAAACATTGTTTGATTTCATCAAAAACTCAATTATTTGGGTTCTACGATATGCTGAATCTAACTGTTCATTTAGATTTTTTTATTTAGGGCTCGGTCTTCAAATTAGTCCATATCAAAATTCCTAAGGGTCCAACATTATTATTATACCTGCACTCTATAGAGTGGGGACTATATTGCAATCACCTTGTTTGTTCGTTCGTTCGACAAATATTGCTGTCAACCACTTTTCCAAATTGAATGTGTGGAATGACTTCATACTTGGCCACCAGCTTAACAGTGATGAGTTTTCACGTGTGAGCAGGTTTCAGATTTTTCAAAAATCAACTTCCTGTTTGCGGATACTTTGAAAATTGTCAATATGTAAAATGAACTTCAAAATTTTTCGTCAAACACTTCTCCAATATGAATGCGAGGAATGACTTCATACTTGGCCACCAGCTTAACAGTGATGAGAAGTAAAGTGTGAGCACTTTTCAGATTTTTTAAATACCAACTTCATGTTTCCCGATACTTTGAAAATTGATGTTTTTTTTTAAATTGAACAGGAAGATAATGTATCAACCATTTTTTTTTAGTTCAAGCGTATCCTGTCAACATAGCTCAACAGTCAGTGTGTCAACTGAAAGGTACTTTTTTTGTTATTGTCAGACACATTGTCATGATTGTCAACATACTGAAATTGTTAACAAAATAGAGATTTTTTTTAAAATTTGAAGCATTCAATGGGTACAACGATTACTTTTTAAAAGGGGCACTAGCTGTCAAATTCATGTTCACCCATTCAACTCAAACAGTCGTACGATATTTAGTATATATACTAAAAGGTTTTTCCAAATTACAAAAAGTCCACAAGAAAGTATTACAATGCACATACGCATAGAAATACATCAAGATTCTGTCTGCATTTAAGACCAGACGCCATGTTATTAAATTTCTGATGATATCCGATGGTCATATGGCCTGACATAAGCATATATATTAATAAACAATACACATACAAGCACGAGCAATGGTAAATAAGTACATGAAGCCTAGATGTTCAAATATTCTTCAACGAGTTAAATATTAAGGTGATGCATTTGTAAAATTATTTGTGGCAGTTACATACATAACATATGAGTTGTGAAATTCAAATATAAACAGTACATCATATAATAAGATAGGATAATGTATTTTTTATATACTTATATCTTATACTCTTACAGAATTGAAGACAGTCATGATGAAGAATTCAATGACTTAAGTCCTCTTCTTCCACTAGACTCATCTTTGTTAAGGTAAGCAGATAAAAAATAGAACTATTGTGAAAGAATTTTTGTTCGTGGTGTTCAAATTTGTGGTTTTCATAGTTCGATCAAATCACAAATTAAAGTTTATAAGTAAGTTTCCAAAATTTGAAACCTCAGGAACTAACGTAATCTGGGTAACCCATGGAAATTGATACCCACAGAGAAAAGTACTTCACAATATTATAAAACTTATTACCTTTTGAAATGATTGAGGGTCACCAATGTTGATAAAATTGCTTAAACTATTTATATGAGAAGCCATTGATTTCTTTTCAGCCTTCAACATTTGAGAAAAAGCCATACCAAAATGAAATATTATAGCTATAAAGGGACCTTGAAAACACGAAACTATTAAACATATACACCCGTCCTGACCCCCCCCCCCCCAAAAAAAAAAAACTACATGTAATAAAAAAGCATTGAATTTAATGTCACAGTTAACATGGTTAACATTTAACAGTTGTCATGGTTGTTATAAATTGATTTTCATTTTTTTTTTCAGTGAGGCAACAATTCTGATAAAAGAATGCAGTTTTAATCTAGAAGAAGATCAGGTAACATATTTAATAAATAACTGTACAAAATAATATGTATATATTTCAAATCGGTACATTCTCAAAAATTACAAAAAGTATTTTGAAAACTAATCATCTGAATAAAAACATTATAGACATACTTTGCAAGAAAGATTTTTTATTTCAATTCAAATTCTATCATTGTCTATATTTCCACTATGAACATGATGGTTGACCACAGCTCTTAGAAGACAGCCAGATTTTGTTTAGGTTTATTCAAGGACCATTACTTCTGGACAGTAGAAGTGAAAATCATCAATAAATGTATTAATCTTGACCTCTTTTTTGCAAAACAAACAACATATTGTATTAAACTTGACCTCTATTTTGGAAAACAAACAACATAGAAGAGAAGTGGTCGAACAGTTTATAAGTTATCACAATGCAACTATTGAAGGCTATGTTGGTCTGCTGACATACTTTACATACTTTACTAGATTAATATAGAAGAAAGAATTAACCTAGAAACCATTTAAAAAGCACCAAATCTTCAAAATGCTACACATCTTAGAAATCGTAATGTTTGGATATATGTGGAGGCAGATGCAACACCAATTAAAGCAGTCGGAAATTAAACATACTTTAATGTAACACTTTTTATTTTCTAGAACAAGGAAGAAGGAAAGGAGGAAGAACAACCAGAAGAGAGCAAGAATGAAGGAAAGCAGGGAAAAAACCTGGAAGAGAACAAGAATGAAGGAAAGGAGGAAAAAAAACTGGAAGAGAACAAGAATGATGGAAAAGATGGAAAAAACCTGGAAGAGAACAAGAATGAAGGAAAGGAGGGAAAAAAACAGGCAGAGAACAAGAATGAAGGAATGGTGGGAAAAAACTGGAAGAGAACAAGAATGAAGGAAAGGAGGGAAAAAAAGTTGCTGAGAACAAGAATGATGAAAAGGAGGGAAAAAACAGGAAGAGAACATGAATAAAAACCAAATAATGAGGTAAAGACAATCTTTTTTTCTACGTCATGTGACATATGATATACAAATGACCGTTTTTTCCACATATCACGCCGTATCTCAAAAACAATTTATGATTATTGCTTTAAACTTTACACATTTGCTAGTTATATTAATCTAAAGATCTGTTTACTTTTTGGTGATGATTCAATATTTTATTTTCGAGTTATTGACATTTTTTTTGAAAATAAGGGGGGTGTGTTTTTTCACGTCGCATCATATCTCATAACTATTTAAGATTATTGCATAAAACTTTACACACTTGTTAGTTATGTTGATCTTAAGATCCGTAAACTTTTTTGTGATGATTCTTTATTTTATTTTTGTATTATTGATTTTTTTAATGAGTTTTTTGGTATCGTATAAAACATGTAAAACATGTTGTTAGCAATTTTTGTAGTATATAAACTTGCTATTGAACGGGAATAAGGAATGAGTCATGCTATACTTAGCATGACATTCTGTACAACACTGTGTTATTCCAAAAACATTTATTATATTTTTTTCACAAGATGACGGGCGTATCATGCGCTTATGGCGCAGCTGTTTATCAAGCAACTGTTATGTTACTCATGTTAATGTTGTTGTGTTATGATTTTGTATTTATATATTAGGCTGAAATTATGTTATGAATGTAAGACATTTCAATGATTGTTTGTTGTTTCAGTGATAAAAATGATATCGAAAAATCAGTCGAGCTGATATACATGTAATGGTGATCTGCCTATATTTTTCGACAGAATTAAAAAAAAAACATTTCTGTATAAGACATGTTAGATAGACATGATAGACAACTAAAAAAAAATAAAATAACCAAATGTTTATCTTTTATTATTTTATAGGCTTTGTATTGGAGAACACATCAAAGTTACCAATGGTAAAACTGATTTTCCTGCTATTGTAAGTTTTAATAAAAACTGTTTTTGGTACAAATTACTAGACATTTCAGTATTTTTAGAACCTGAAAATCTATTAATATATATTCATTAGTTGCTTGATTTAAGGTTTTTAACCATTTAACTTGCATGCTTTTAATAGCACTTTTCCCAATGTGCTTGATTCTTATTTATCTTTACCTGCTCGTTAAAACCTCGCCTTTCCACGGTTTCTCAGCCTCTTACAAAAATTTTAATATTTTCTGACTATGACTTACAGTGACTTAATTTTGTGTATATAGATTACCAATTTTGGATTTAAAGTAAAGATACATAACAAGATGAAATGTAATTTAAGGGGAGGAATTGTATTTGATTCATCATGCTTTCTTCTTTAGTTTAGTTTTATATGATTTTCTCTTTTTTATATTATCTCAATAAATATTTATATTTAATTAATGTTAGATATAATTTAAGATAAAAATTAAAATGGCACTTTTTTTATAAAAATAAATAATTTAATGTTGATAGTTTATCACATGCCACCTGAACTCATACAAATGTTATATTACCTAGGAGTCCATCTGTTTTGTCTGTAAGTGAATCTGATAATTGATTACTTAGGATATTTGCAATTCATAGTATAGTAGAAGTCTTTACCTCTTTTTCAGGTTACTGACATAGATGATTCTGGTGTATGGGGCCAGTTTTTTAGAAGAAAAGGTGCAAGCTGGGCTTTAGATGAAATAAAGTATTTCATCATGGAAAAGGACATTATTAAATCTTTACAACCACCTGACTTGCTTCAATTAGGTGGTTCCCGGTTTTCATATAAATTTGTTGAATTTTGAGTGTCATTAACTTTTGTCTTCTTTTGGGGGGAAGGGGGGGGGGGATATACCACATATTGACATTTATTATGTTTATTATATGCCCTTAGTACCCCTGGTTTCTGGTGTGTGTTTAGTTAAAACATTCATTTCACTTGGCATCTGTTGTCTCAAAAGTTAACACCTATCACATTTGGCCAAATTAGCACAAAGAACTATTTCCAGCACGGTGTTACTAGCTGTAATTTATACCAAATACTGTAGCCTTGTCAAATTTTTAAATCTTGTTATCGAAAAATATTTTTTAACCATGCTATTTAAAATAAAAGCAGCATTGTTTAGTGAAAATGGTTTATTTATTTTGAGAAGAAAATCAAATCCTTCAACAACTTATGTAGGTGGTGAGTAGTACAAAGTCATAAAGCCCTCTTTTGGTACCATTTTTAACTAAAGAATAACAAATTGAAGCAAGTAACATGCCTTTGTAATGATAACCTTGTTTCACATGCTGAAACTGATCAATATATTATAATTAGCTTTTCAATTTAAATGTAAGATAAGACATTTGTCAGAATAGAGAATGGAATAATATTCTTGTCATTGAACTCTTAGGTAAAATGAGTCACTTGGTAATTGCTGCTCATTAAATGTGTTATAAAAGGTCAAAATAAACTATTTCTCAGAAGAATATTATATACACCACATTACTTTACAATTGTACAATGACTTGCTTCAATTTATTATTGTTATTGTAACATGTAAAATGGTCAAGACAGAGCTATGAATTATTCTGTTTAAGCTTTTTCTACATTTATGACATGTGTAATACATTGATGTTAGTTGGAAATGTAGTTTCCAATGGTAGTAATTGTTTAAATGGAATTCATAATGTCAAAAAATGAATGTTACCTGTATATATGTATATAGGATATGACATATTTTATACTGTTACAACATTTTATACTATTAGACTTGTTTTGTTTTAGATATTTTTACAATCTTGTAGTTATTTTTGTTACATTTAATGGATTACGGGTAAAGCCTTTTTGGTGCTTTGTCCCAATTAGCAATTCATTTGCGCCAAAAATAATGACCATATTTCATTTGTGCTGAATTACATAACTTTCATTAACACCAATAACACAGGCAGATACTATAAATAAATGTATAGCATCATTGAGTTTTTTATTGAATAAATTAATTGAAATCCAGTCAACTTGAAATTAGAGGCATATCTAGGTGGGACCTCGGGCATTTGTCAGGGGGGAGGCACTCTATCTAGATTTAAAAAAAAATTTTTTTGTGAAAAGGTGTTAAAGGTCTGATTGAACATCTTCAACTGAATAATATACATCTTTTTACAACAATCATGGAAACACTACAGTACATAATTTTAAAAGTCCATGACTCAGATTTATTTGAGTATAAACTTAATACTTTATCACAAGGAGAAAAATATATTAAAATTTCTTATCTGAGCTTTTAATTCAGAGGAAATGTATATTTCAACTTTTCTGACATGTGTTATCTGTGAAAGTTGCAGAAGTCCCATGAAAGTAGTATATTTTGGCGCAAATGAAAAACTGCATTTTTTTATAAATTGGTGCAAATGTGCAAATGCAATGTGCTCCGCTTTTATTAGTTCAAGAACTTGTGATTTGTTTTGTCTTGATTAATTTTTATGTATATTCTACCATGTCAAGCTCATATTTCAAAATTATTGGGATTTTAGTGTACTCCAATAATTATCTTTTGCTAATAGTCTTGGGGATTCAATTTTTATCATTGAAATGTCTTTTATATATATCATGTATATCATTGCCAAATTAAGAATATTTATATTTCTACTTTTGCATCCAATATTAACTATCCTTAGATTTTAAATCACAAAAAGGTTGGGTTTTTTTCTTACAAATTTTCTATTAATAGTAAAAGAATTTATCAAGTTTACCTTGTTCTCATTATGAAATTTTGAACTAAAGAATTGACATAATTTGGTGTTATTCAATGTTAATGAAGCTTTAAGGGTTATTTAAGTATGTGTATTTAGTTAATTACATTTTCATGATTGTACAAAATGTATATTAGAATCTGTTCATGACAAATGCATGAGAATATTATGTGTATTTTTCCACTTTAATATGACATACTTATTACTGATAGGATTTTTTTTTTAAAAGCACTTTATAACTACAGAGATCTAAGTTTCCTTTTCAGAATAATATAATCACACAATTTAACACTAATTATAAAATTCCCTTCACAATCTTGTCAGTTTTTAATACTGTTTTTTAAGCAATGCAAGAAAACTAAATATTCCAGAGATTATTGAAATAATACAAGAAAAGATGGCTTTAAATCATATATAAAATGATTTTTGGAAAAAGACAAACATATTACAGATTCGTTTGAGGTTTGTCATGTTTGTGAATTGAGTTACACATAATTTTTTTATATTTTTACATGTGTCCAATTTGGTCATTATTTCATGTATTATCTAGTCTGAAAATAGTGTTGGTTATTCATTTGAACTGTCGTGACTGCTAGTCAGGTGTCTAGTTTTTTGTGCATCATTTAATACATTTAACTTTGTAATATTAATCTTTTATTGCCATTTAATTTGGTATACTTTTTTCTTTCCATTACAAAACATTTTACGTAATTTTATAATTTTGGTTTATAATATTGTGCAAAAAAACAGTAGAATAAAATAATATAAAATATTGCTTGTATTTGATTTAATTAGGAAACATGATTTGGCTTATATCATTTACTTTGCATTCTAATATCATTAGTCAGAAATGTTTGAAAACTATACTATGCCAATACTGTGTTCACTTATTTGTTGATTATAGTTGAATTAAAAGTTGAAATCAATGGCTGTGTTTACTTTCCTTGATTTTAGGGGAGACAATTCAAACAATAATACAGGCTTAAGTCTCAATTTTATACAACAACATTGCCAAATAAAATTTACTTATATAAGTAAAAAAAACATTAACAAATGTGTTTACTATGTAGGGAAGACAACTCTTACTCAATTTTTTTTTACTTGTATAGGTAAAAAAAAATTACTTGTATAAGTAAAAAATATACATGCAAACACATTATTTTTTTTTACTTATAGAAGTAAAACAAATACACTTGTATATGTAGTACCCCTGACTGACTTTCACCAATTTGTAAAAAACTTTATTGAATTGTTTATATCTATTGACGTAAGCTCCATTTCGATTATTATAAATTTTAGATTTTACGTTTCCGAGTTATGGGATTTTATTCATAAAAAAGGGGTGATTTTCCAGTTTTCAGACAATATCTTTAAAGTGCTTTATTTGATGAGTTTTCATGAAACTTTGGTGACTGGTTTATATCTATTAAGATAACCTCCCTTTATCTTTTCATAAATTTCTGATATGACATTGAGAAGTTATTGAACTTTATTCTTTTAAAAAGCGACAGGCGTATCATGCGCTCATGGCGCAGCTGTTTATTTGTATAGATCTAAGTGTTGTTCAATAATTATAATTCGATTTAATTAGTGGTTCAGATGGTTTTTTTTAATAGATTTATCTGTGACTACGCAGAAGCACCAGGCTTGGTATGGAAATCTTTGGTAAAGTGAAGTTTAAATGGAAGTTTTCTTCAAACAATCATGCATTTTCTTGGGGGTGGAAAAGGATGGGAGGGTGTAAGTAGTTTTTTTTTGCAACCACGAGTAGTCATTTTGAACATTGGGAGGAAAGCAATATATTTTTAACACTATATTCTACATGAATATCTACTTTAAAAGTATTGTGATGTTACAACCAAAACTTATTGTTGACAATCTTTCATATATATTTGCAAGATTTTATATGAAGAATATAGAATCATTGATTGCTTGAGGCCAGTTTATATTTGACTGTGAATGTAAAACTAAGGAGATGGGGTATAATTGCTTACAGACAAATATGAGCCCAAATTGTCGTGGATGAAAGACGTTAGCAACAGGAAACTCATTTTAAGCAATTTCTTTAAACATTTATATTGGTCAGAATATTTATCTGTATTAAAAACTATACTGTTTTCATTTCTCGTTTCAGTGTTTTTTAAGCAGTGATATTGGCAATATCCAGTACGTATAATTAAAATTAAAATTTAAAAGATTTTGCATTGTTATCAAAGTGGTACATGCATGACATGTATTATTGTATGTAGGCAATGTGGGAAAACAGATCTCCTTGTGAAATGAAAACAGATCATGACATGATGTGCATATAGCAAGTCCAGTGATATTGACAATATCCAGTACGTACAGATGAAAGAGACCAGTACTGATAATTAAAATAAAAATTTAAAAGATTTTGCATTGTTATTAAACCAGTACTGTATTATTGTATGCAGGCAACTAGGGAAGACAGATCTCCTTATGATATCTTATATTTATAAAGCCAATATATAGTTTAATTAAAAATGGGGGTTTGTCATAGACACAAAATTATAACGCAGGCTTACAGACTTCATATGAAGCACCTTAATAAAGTGCAGTCACCAATCTGAATAGTAGAGTGTATGTCTATGATATCATTTCAGCAGGCTATGAGGTTAAGCTGTTATTGTATATTACTGTTTCGTTTTATTTGTATTTTTGTAATTCATCACAATAAAAGTCACCAGTTTTAGATTTATGCGCTTTTCCTATATATTTTTTATATACCGTAAATAATAAACAAACACCAAATATGTGAATTTTTTTTTAAAAGATAAAAGACTTTTCAATTGAGCGATTAAACTTAAGTCACCTGGTCAAATATATAAAGAAACATACAATGCAAAGATGTCAGCCTTTAAACAAAACAGCCACCGGCCTTCACAGAAACAGATACCAGCATCCAAAGGAAATGACTCTCAGCATTCAATTTATAATGTGTTGAGAAAACTTTTACTTACAACTGGGATTCCAGCATCCCTGAGAATAAGGATGAACATACAATTTTTTTCATGGGATGGCAGCATCCAAAGAGAAAGTTGAGTCTGCAAGCATATAATTTGGATGCCAGCATCCAAACAAAAGGTATATCAAAGTCTATATATATGTTAGATGCCAGCATCCAAATGATGGTGTGTTCAATATGGAACTTTATAAAGCCATATTAGCATCCTGCAAAGATGAAGATGCAATTTCCATATTTTTATGCCCCTGCCAAAGCGGAGGGGGCATTTAGTTTTACCCTTGTCTGTACGTACGTACGTCCGTACGTTCCAAATTTGGTTTCCGTTCTCTAACTTAAGTTTGCCTCAACCAAACTTATATACAATGCTTATTACCACAAAACACAGATCAAGTTTGAATTTTGGTGACTCACTCTAACCTTTCTAGAGTTATGCCCCTTTATAAATGGAAAAATTGCAAAATTTTTCATTTCCGTTCTCTGACTTAAGTTTGCCTCAACCAAATGTTATGAAACTTATACACAATGCTCATCACCACAATACACAGATCAAGTTTGAATTATGGTGGTTTCACTTTTACTGTTCTAGAGTTATGCCCTTTACAATAGCAATTTTTCATTTTTTTTTAAAAATATCAATGATGCCATTGTTCAAGTAATTTTTATACGACCGCAAAAAAAAATTGCTGTCGTATATTGGTATGACGTTGGTTTTCGCACTCTAACTTTAGTTTAAGTGAATGGATCTCTATGAAATTTTACCATAAGGTTCAATACCATAAAAGGAAGGTTGGGATTGATTTTGGGGGTTATGGTACCAACAGTTAAGGAATTAGGGGCCAAAAATAAGCATTTTTGTAACTTCCAGACATAACTTGTGTGTTAGTGTATGGATCTCTCTGACATTGTACCACAAGGTTCCATATCACAAAGGGAATGCTGGGATTGATTTTGGGGGTAATTGCCTCCAAAATTTAGGAATAAGGGGCAAAAAAAGGGGCAAAAAACAAGCATTTTTCTAGTTTCATGACAATAACTTGTGTGTAAGTGTATAGATCTTTATGAAATTGTACTACAAGGTTTCATATCACAAAGGGAAAGCTGGAATTGAGTTTGGGGATAATTGCCTTAAACGTTTAGGAATAAGGGGCCAAAAAAGGGGCCAAAAATAAGCATTTTTCTAGTTTCCAGACAATAACTTGTGTTCAAGTGTATGGATCTCACTGAAATTGTACTGCAAGGTACCATACCACAAAGGGAATGCTGGGATTGATTTTGGGGGTAATTGCCTCCAAATTTTAGGAATTAGGGGCCAAAAAGGGGCCAAAAAAC